AAAACTAATTTAAAAAATGGTTTTAGATTACCATAGGAAAAAGGAAGCCAATACAAATTAAAATTTCTCTTATTAGTTTCAAAGATCTGAAGATATATCAGCATACCTCAGTTTGAGAAACACTGATCTAAACAACTAAGTTATTACCCAGAATTAAAACCAAAGGCATCTCCCAACACAGGCACAAAGAAAGCTGCAAGATGGCACTGCCACAGTTCTAAACTTAAAACTAAACGTTCTTCACTTGCTTGTAAGATACCCCATTGCTAAGAAGATTAGCTTGGCATTTAGAAGCAGTCTGAGCCCCAAATCGAAGGTGCCTGAAATCCTACTCCAGGTCCATTATTTCTTAAATAGGAAGTCTTTTTTTTTTTTTTTCAGCTGAGCCATCCTTCTACTTGTTGGCAGCTCAGCTCCGGCCGGGAATCGAAACTGCTGTTGCTCAGAGCTCGCACTCTTGAGCATGCGTTTAGCCAACTGAGCCACTCGGTCGGCCTTTTTTTGTTTTTTAATGCACAAAGCAATAAATACATGGCAGTCCTGAATCATTTCAAAGGACAAACCATGACCTCTGAGAGCATTACAATGAAGGCATTTCTGGACCTGCAAGAAATGTTTCAGTAATTAGGATGTATCCATTAAAGAAAATGAAAAGAATGTTTAATAAATTCTGCAAAAAATTTCTGACAAAATGTTAACTGGAAAAATCTTGGCACTGAAAAGATACACTTCTGAGGAGTAGTGGTTCTTGACCTCACAAGATTGAAAATCTGAAGTGTGACTTAAAATGGGAATATATAAACAGGCAAATTTATAAACATAAATACTAAAATACATGACATAAAGGCACCTGCTTTAGAATGAGGCATCAACATTCTTAAGTCTTGCATTAAATGTCTTGTTCTGAAATTTATTCCTCTGGAAGAAAAGATGAGAATCCGTTCCTTATTTTTCCACTTGCCCTAAAGAAAAAGAAATTGTTAAGATTTTTGAATCTCATACTGAACCTGTTTTCTGGTTAATGATAAAGCTTCCAAGTAGCAAGCCAAACAATCCTGACCTAAACCTTTAATTCAGTCTCTCAGTAGCATTCACTGATCTTGGTTGCCGCCCAGAAAAGTGCTCTCCTTGGTTTCTTTACCTTTTCTATTTCTTTTTTCTTCAATCTCTCCAATTCCTCATCCTAACTCTAAAGATTCTTAGACTCTTTTATTTCTGTTCTTTCCAG